TGGCTCTGTTGCCCAGACTGGAGTGCAGTGGTGAGATCTCAACTCACCACAACCTTTGCCTCCCAGTTCAAGTGATTCTCCTGCCTCAGCCTCCCGAGTAGCTGGGACTACAGGAGCGCACCACAAAGCCTGCCTAATTTTTTTTGTATTTTTAGTAGAGACGGGTTTCACCGTGTTAGCCAGGATGGTCTCTATCTCCTGACCTCATGATCCATCCACCTCGGCCTCCCAAAGTGCTGGGATTGCAGGTGTGAGCCACCATGCCTAGCCTGGATGAGTGAATAATTAATGCTATCTTTAGAAGGCGGGGTGGTTAGGGACTTTATTTTATGGTTTTGTATTTTTTTTTATTACAGTGTTCCATGACAAAATCAGAAAAATAATCTTGTAAAATGTCTCATAATTAACATTTTCTACCTGCAGTAAATCAATGTTTGCAGAAATGGAAATCATTGGCCAGTTTAACCTGGGATTTATTATAACCAAACTGAATGAGGATATCTTCATAGTGGACCAACATGCTACAGATGAGAAATATAACTTTGAGATGCTGCAGCAGCACACCGTGCTCCAGGGGCAGAGGCTTATAGCGTGAGTTCCTTTCAGTGTTGATTCCCAAATTCCCCCTCAAATTTCAGATCTAACAGAGGCTGAGGCCGGAGGGTCGCAAGAGGCCTGGAGTTTGAGACCAGCCTGGGCAACATAGCGAGACCTCGTATCTACTTAAAAAAAGAAGAGATCTAGGAAGGAGGGATGTAAAAAATAAAAAAAGATCTAATAGTTGGCTGGGCACGGTGGCTCACACCTGTAATCCCAGCACTTTGGGAGGCCAAGGCGGGCGGATCACCTGAAGTCAGGAGTTTGATACCAGCCTGGCCAACATGGTGAAACCCCATCTCTACTAAAAATACAGAAAAGTTAGCTGGGTGTGGTGGCACACGCCTATAATTCCAGCTACTCAGGAGGCCGAGGTAGGAGAATTGCTTGAACCCGGGAGATGGAGGTTGCAGTGAGCCAAGATCGCACCACTGTACTCCAGCCTGGGTGTCAGAGTGAGACTCTGTCTCAAAAAAAAAAAAAAAAAAAAATCTAGTAGTTTATGTGTCTGTATATATGTATATGTATATATGTATTTTTCTGTAAGTATTCATATAGCAGATTTTTATACTTTTTACATAATAATAGTGATAGGATTTATTGAATGCCTAGTATCTACCAGACACTTGAAATAATGCATGTATATTAGTTCATTTAATCCTTAAAAACCTATGAGGTTGTTACTGTTACCTTCGCCATTCCACAGGTGATAAAACTGAGGAATGCACAGAGAGGCCAAGTAACTTGCCCAAGTTCACACAGTTAACATGTTCTCTAGGTATCAAACCTCTTTAGCTATTGAAAATGTGGATCACTGGTTAGCCAGACGATCCTTTTCATGAGGGCAGTTTATAGTACAGAGTTTTAGTATAGATAGTGTATGGAATATGTGTGTTCAGAAAGACAGCACAGCCTCTGCGCCAGTCTTTATTTATAGTAGAGTAATCAATCAGCAGTCAGATAGTCACTGCAGATTGGGTGCAGGGGCACACGCCTGTAATCCCAGAGCTTCGGGAGGCTGAAGCAGGCAGATCGACTGAGCTTAGGAGTTTGAGACCAGCCTGGACATCGTGGTGAAACCTTGTCTCTACAAAAAATAAAAAAATTTGCTGGCACGGTGGCTCACGCCTGTAATCGCAGCACTTTGGGAGGCCGAGGTGGATGAATCACGAGGTCAGGAGTTTGAGACCAGCGTGACCAACATGGTGAGACCCCGCCTCTACTAAAAATACAAAAATTAGCCAGTTGTGGTGGTATGTACCTGTAATCCCAGCTCTTCAGGAGGCTGAGGCAGGAGAATCACTTGAACCTGGGAGGTGGAGGTTGCAGTGAGCCATATATATATATATACACATACGTATATATATATATACACACACATATATATACATATATATATACACACACATATATATGTGTATATATGTGTATATATATATATAATCTTTAGCCAGACTTGATGGTGTATGCCTGTGGTCCCAGCTATTTGGAAGGCTGAGGTGGGAGGATCTTTTGAGCCTAGGAGGTTCAGGCTACCATGATTGTGCCACTGCACAGCACTCCAGCCTGGGTGACAGCATGAGACAGTGAGATTCGGTCTCACAAATAAATAAATAAAATATAAAAATTATTTTAAGATAGTCACTGCAGAATTTTGTATTTCTCTCTCCTCTGCCAAACTGAATGTTTTGCCCGGACTGCTTTACAAAGGTCAGGTGTGATAGTATATTATGTAAAACGAAAGTCTTGTCTTAAGCAAAGTTATAAGAAGAGGAGTTTTATCTGGGAAATTCAACCACGTAGAGAAGTAAACTCAGATCTCAACACGTATATTCCACATGTAGAAATGTGCCACTGAACAGCTGAAAAAACCTAACTAGTTTACTCAGTACTCTTTCCTGTGGAATGCATGAACTGTTTCTATTCTCAGTAGGAGTCAATGATAATAATAAAGACAGTAAGATACTTTATTATTTTTTTTTTTTTTTGAGATGGAGTTTCGCTCTTGTTACCCAGGCTGGAGTGCAACGGCGCGATCTCGGCTCAACGCAACCTCTGCCTCCCGGGTTCAGGCAATTCTCCTGCCTCAGCCTCCTGAGTAGCTGGGATTACAGGCACGTGCCACCATGCCCAGCTAATTTTTTGTATTTTTAGTAGAGACGGGGTTTCACCATGTTGACCAGGATGGTCTCGATCTCTTGACCTCGTGATCCACCCGCCTCGGCCTCCCAAAGTGCTGGGATTACAGGCTTGAGCCACCGCACCCGGCAGTAAGATACTTTATAATCCTGAGATATCCCTTCCCTGTTCCTCTTAATAGTGGTCTTGGTTTTTTGTTTTGTTTTGTTTTTTTCTTTCCTTTGAGACAGAGTTTCATTCTTTTGCCCGGGCTGGGGTGATTAAGTGGCGCAATCTTGACTCATTGCAACCTCCGCCTCCTGGGTTCAAGTGATGGTTGTGCCTCAGCCACCTGAGTAGCTGGGATCACAGGTGCCTGCCACCATTACCTGATTAACTCCCACTCATCCCCAGACTCAGCTCAAAGGTCACTTCCTTACCCCAGGGTGAAGTCTCACTTATGACACTGGGTGCTTTTTCTAAACTCCTGGCCTCAAGAGATCTGCCTGCCTTGGCCTCCTAAACTTCTGGGATTGCAGGCATGAGCCACTGTGCCCGGCCTGTAGCTACTTTAACTGCTAAAAAGAACTTTAGGAAAAGCAAATTAAAAGGAACTTCTCGGGAAGTTTTGTGACACTTAGCTGAATAGTGTTGTTACTAATGTTGTTATTTTGAAATGAATTCAAAACATAGTATTGTTTTAATTTTATTTCTGCTTTATAGCTAAATGTTTGACTTCAGGATATGGTTTGAATCACTTTTGTGTTTTTTTGTATTTTTAGTAGAGAAGGGGTTTTGCCATGTTAGCCAGGCTGGTCTCAAACTCCTGACCTCAGGTGAACCACCCGCCTCAGCCTCCCAAAGTGCTGGGATTACAGGCGTGAGCCACTGTGCCTGGTTGAGGCCTTGTATTTTTTAGCCATGCGGCAAAGATAACCTCTCGTCTGTGACATTTCAAGTTGGCCCAGGTAATCACAGACCACTTTGGATTCCAGATGGACCACACTTCAATCTGAAAGGATAAGACCCAATTCCACCCTGCCCTGCCAGCCCCTGCGTACGGGGGCCCTGTTGACCTCTTTAGCTTTTCCCATCCCTCTTCTCCTTGTTTCCTGTACTCGAGCCTCTCGGGCTGTCTTTCTTTTTCCCTTGGTGGCCTGAGGAATCCCTGTGTGGCCACTAAACAGAATGAAGGATATCTTTATGTGTGGCTCTGCACGCATCAGTGGTCCACCCTAGGGCCTGACACAGATTGTCATCTCTGCCTAGATCATTTGTCCTGCACCCTGCACCCATTTCTCCCCCATTACCTGATTAACTCCTACTCATCCCCAGACTCGGCTCAAAGGTCACTTCCTGACCCCAGGGTGAAGTTTAACTTAAGACACTGGCTGCTTTTTCTTCCTGATCTTCCTGTCATTTGTCATCATGATCGACTTGCCTGAGTATTTGCTCAATGTCTTTCTTCCCCAGTAATCTCTTGGCTCCAGGACCAAGCCTATGTTTGCTCACCGGCTGTCTCCTGCCTTTAGCAGTGTTTGTCTTATCCAGCGCTCAGGACCAGGTGCAGTGGCTCACACCTGTAATCCCAGCACTTTGGGAGGCTGAGGTGGGAGGATCACTTGAGTCCAGGAGTTGGAGACCAGCCTGGGCAACACAGTGAGACCCTGTCGCTATTTTTGAAAAAAATAGCAAAAAGTTAAAAAAACAAAAAAAAAGCCCCCTTATAAAGCATCCAAGAGGAGAGAAAGATGGAGATATAATACAGGCAGCGGAAGGAGAAGGATAGCAAAATAAATGCTGTCTGTTCATTCTGTTTATAAACGGTGGAATGACCTAACCCAGTGTTTCAAATTCTCCATTAGAAGGAGGGAAAATAGCATTTTTGTGATATTGTTATCCTTAAGGAAAGGATTCAGAAAAAGATGGAGTCATTGGGGTGGCGGCTGAGGAAAAAGCAAACTACTTTTGTAGCTATTTTAACTTTTTTTTTTTTTTTGAAACACAGTCTTGTTCTGTTGCCCAGGCTGGAGTGCAGTGGTGTGATCTCAGCTCACTGCAACCTCCACCTCCTGGGTTCAAGCAATTCTAGTGCCTCAGCCTCCTGAGTAGCTGGGACTATAGCCATGAGCTACCCCTTCCCGCTTTTTTTTTTTTTTTTTTTTTTTTGAGACAGAGTCTTGCTGTGTTGCTCATTATACTTGCTGGAGTATAATGGCATGATCTTGGTTCACTACAACTTCTGCCTCCTGGATTCAAGGGAATCTCCTGCCTAAGCCTCCCAAGTACCCGGGACTACAGGCGTGCGCTGCCACCTCACCTGGCCTAATTTTTGTATTTTTAATATAGACAGGGTTTTGCTGTGTTGACCAGGCTGGTCTCAAATTCCTGGCCTCAAGAGATCTGCCTGCCTCCGCCTCCTAAAGTGCTGGAATTACAGGAGTGAGCCACCACACCCAGCCTGTTGCTACTTTAACTTCTAAAAAGTACTTAAAGAAAAAAGAAAATTAAAAGGAACTTCTCAGGAAGTTTTATGACACTTGGCTAAATAGTATTGTTATTTTGAAATAAATTCAAAATATAGTATTGTTTTAATTTTATTTCTGCTTATAGCTAAATGTTTGACTTCAGGATATGGTTTGAATCATTTTTGTGTTTTTCAGACCTCAGACTCTCAACTTAACTGCTGTTAATGAAACTATTCTGATAGAAAATCTGGAAATATTTAGAAAGAATGGCTTTGATTTTGTTATCGATGAAAGTGGTAAGTTATTAATTAAAACTATAGCGACTGGGTATAGTGGCTCATGCCTGTAATCTCAGCACTTTGGGAGGCCAAGGCAGGCAGATCACCTGAGGTCAGGAGTTTGAGACCAGCCTGGCCAACATGGTGAAGCCCCATCTTTACTGAAAATATAGAAATTAGCTGGGCTTGGTGGCAGGCACCTGGCATGGTGGCGGGCGCCTGTAATCCCAATTACTTGGGAGGCTGAGGTGGGAGAATTGCTTGAACCTGGGAGGCAGCAGTTGCAGTGAGCTGAGATCATGTCACTGCACTCTAGCCTGGGTGACAAGTGTGAAACTCCATCTTAAATAAATAAATAAATAAGAACTATAGATTCTTGTCGTTTTAGAGCTGGGAATAATCTTTCAGGTCATATAGACCAGTGTTTTTATTTTATAAAAGATAAAAAAGCATTTTGTGACTGTCCTCTCTTTCAGATACTCATCATTATCAGTAGCTTTCAAGTGAAATGTGTTCCTCAAGTAATGGATTTTTTTCAAAATTGTATTATTTTTTTTTTTCCCCAAAATTGTATTCTTTTAGCTCCAGTCACTCAAAGGGCTAAACTGATTTCCTTGCCAACTAGTAAAAACTGGACATTCGGACCCCAGGACATAGATGAGCTGATCTTTATGCTAAGTGACAGCCCTGGGGTCATGTGCCGGCCTTCCCGGGTCAAGCAGATGTTTGCCTCCAGAGCCTGTCGAAAATCTGTAAGTATAGAAAGCCTGGCTGTCAACTCAGATGCTCAAGCTCGAAGTCTAAGGAAGGTCTCAGTTCAGCTCCTGATTTGGTCAAGGTTACTAAATGTCTTTATGATTGGCCAGGCACAGTGGGTCATGCCTGTAATCCCAGCACTTTGGGAGGCGTAGGTGGGTGGATCATGAGGTCAAGAGATCGAGACCATCCTGGCCAACATGGTCAAACCCATCTCTACTAAAAATACAAAAATTAACTGGGCGTAGTGGTGTGTGCCTGTAGTCCTGGCTACTCGGGAGGCTGAGGCCTCGGGAGGCTGAGGCAGGAGAATTGCTTGAACCCAGGAGGTGAAGGTTGCAGTGAGCCAAGATCACGCCACTGCACTCCAGCCTGGTGACAGAGCTAGACTCCATCTCAAAAAAAAAAAAAAAAAAAAATGCCTTTATGATTGCCAGGGGTCATTTTACACAGAGAACAATGTAGAACATCATAGCTGAGCATCTATATTGTCTGCATTCTCTGTGACCTTGAACTCATAGTTATTGCTCTTTTGTTACCTCTGTTAAGCAGAATTTTTTTTTTTTGAGACAGGGTCTCCGTCTCTTGCCCAGGCCAGAGTGTGGTGGCACAATCACAGCTCACTGCAGCCTTGACCTCCCAAGCTCAAGCGACCCTCCTGCCCTTGCCTTCTGAGTAATTGTGACTACAGGGATGTACTACCATGCCCAGCTGATTTTTGAATTTTTTGTAGAAACATGGTCTTCTTTTGCTCCTTGTCTCAGCCTCCCAAAGTGCTGGAATTATAGGTGTGAGCCACCGTGGCCAGCTATCTTAGAGCCTTTGTTGACTCCAGTTAAGTGAGCGGTTGAGGCACCCTGTTCATCTGTGGACCTTATGGGTGATAACAACATTGGTAGGTAGAGATTTGCTGCTTCCAGGACTCGGTGACATTAGACAAGACACTGCAGAGTCATCGAGGCAGTAGGGGTGCTGTGGTTGTCATTGCATGTGGTATCACTGCTGCTTGGGTTGGTGTTGGAAGGCGGTAGGAGTGGTTATGCCTGCAGTGGGGATTAGCCTGATAGCCAAAAAAAAATGACTGTATCAGCTGGCCATTGGGAAAGGCCAGGATGCCATTCCTTTATTTATTCAGTGGATGCTCCTTGAGTCCCTGCTGTGTGACCCGCCCTGCTCCAGGTGTCGGGGACACAGAGGTGACAGGGCAGCTGTAGCCCTTGCCCTGTGGAGCTGACAGTACGGAGAAATAGACATCCCCACAAATAAATGACACCCATTAGATGCTAGCGAGCATAGTCAAGAGATTCAAACAGTGTTTTGGGACAGGAAATGACTACAGAAAAATATGGCTAGGTGAGATGGTGGTCAGGGAACAGCATCTGGGCAGGTGGCATCTCAGCTGCCACTCAAAAGGTGGGATGGAAGCTGGACATGGTGGCTCATGCGTGTAATCCCAGCATTTCAGGAGGCCAAGGTGGGATGATTGCTTGAGGCCAGGAGCTGGAGACCAGCCTCGGCAACACAGGCAGACCCCCATGTCTACAAAACGTTAAAAAATTAGCCAGACATGGTGGCCTGTGCCTGTAGTCCCAGCTACTCAGGAGGCTGAGGTGGGAGGATCACTTGAGCCGGGGAGGTCAGGGTTCCAATGAGCCAAGATCACACAATTGTACTTCAGCCTGGGTGACAGAGTAAGACCTTTTCTAAAAAAAAAAAAAAAAAGATAGACTGGAGCCCTCTTGGGTAGGAATTTTCCAAGTGGAGGAAGTGGCAAGAGTGAAGCCAGAGGCCAATTGTGTGCCTGGAGAGGAGATAGGAGTGAGCAGAGTGGCGTCCAGCAGGCAGCCACGTAGAGTGTTGCTGGTCATGCCTAGACCATGGGGGTCTGTGCTGTGTGTGGCAGGAACCATGGGAGAGAATAGACTGGAAGGGGTGCTGTGAGTGCAGCTACTGGGTAGAGCAGCAGCTGGGTGCCACATGGGGAGTGGGCGGGATGGAGCCTGCTGTGTGAGCTTCAGGTATAATTTACAGCCATGAGATTGGATGAAATTACTCAAGGGCAGAGTTTAATTAGAAGAGGGCCCAGAATCTGACTTCTAGCCACAGTGTTTCTTTGAGAAAGACCTAATATGGGCTGGGCGTGGTGGCTCACACCTGTAATTCCAGCACTTTGGAAGGCAGAGGGGGGTTGATCACCTGAGGTCAGGAGTTTGAAACCAGCCTGGCCAACATGGAGAAGCCCTATCCCTACTAAAAGTACAAAAATTAGCTGAGCATGGTGGCAGGCTCCTGTAATCCCAGCTACTCAGGGGGCTGAGGTGGGAGAATTGCTTGAATCTGGGAGGCAGAGGTTGCAGTGAGCCGAGATTACACCATTGCACTCCGGCCTGGAAGACAGAGTCAGACTCTGTCTCCCCACCACTAAAAAGGACCTAATATGGACCTTCCAGTCCTGAAGTCTGTGAGTGAGAGTGTGGAACTGAGCTCATAGTTGGGCAGTTTGGATGTTCTGGGTCTTTAGTGTGACTCAGGGGCCTGGGGAGCCACAGGCTGCTCCTTCCCTCCCACCCTGGCCAACTCCTACATCTCCGGTGCTGTCACTCCCTGCCCACGAGGCCCCTGCTCCGAGCCCTGCCCACCCTTCCAGCCCCATCACTTCCCACCATGCTTCCAGCCATGCAACTGCCTTCTAGTTCCTCCCCCACCGCAGTCTCCTCCCCACCTTATGCCCCTTCTCCCTGCTCTCCTCTCTACCTGGGTTCACTGCTTTTACCCTTCACCCGCTCCCCACACCTGAGCAGGTCACCTCTCCTAGGTGCTGCCTGTCTTGGTTCTCTGTTGACTTGTCTGTCCTTCTCCCACCTGGTGGAGCCCTGCTGTCACCCCGGCCCTCCGACTGTGCCTGGCAGGTGTCGGGCCCTCAGGGTACTGAAGGAAGAAGGAAGGTGACAGAAGGCTTCAGGCTTGTCTCCTCTCCTCCCTGTCAGGATCCATGGCACGGAGGCAGCATGGCCAGGGCTGGTGCTATGGGCAGTGGGTCAGAGCCCAACAGAGGGGGAGTAACATCTGCACCCACTGGGGGAGAGGGTCCCAGGGGTGCCACAGTCCAGAGGCAGGTGTTTGCTTGATGGACCTGTGAAAGAGGAAGGGAGTGTTGGTGCAGGTGGGGTGAGGAAGGGAGGCATTCATGCTTAGAGGTGGGGTGCAGGCACAGCCTAGTGAGGACCAAGTCAGGGGACGGACAAGGACCTTTATTCAGGTGAGGGGGGAGAGCCATGATGTGGAATGACGTGACCTGATAGCCCTTTAAAAATAATCACTGGCTGCTGAGTAGAGAGCAGCGGGAGGGGTTGCAGTGGGGCAGGGAGGCCTGCCGGAGGCTGCTGCACTTGCCTGGGTGAGAGCTCACGGTGGCCTCTGAGAGTGGCTGTGTTCTGAACAGATATGGTCAGCGTCTGGAGTGGAGGCTGTACACCGTGAAGGAGCCACAAAGGGCCTGGATTTCACAAAAAGGTGGAGGGCTGAGGTCTAGAACGGAGGCTTCTCTGGGGGAAGGTTTTTCAGGGAAGGTCATTTTTGAGCTGTAATCTTGTCCAGTCTTATTTTAGAGAAGACTGCTTCTGAAGAGCTGCCATTCTGACATCAAGAAACTGTTAAAACGTTGAACCATTGTGTCTCGTACTCAGGTGATGATTGGGACTGCTCTTAACCCAAGCGAGATGAAGAAACTGATCACCCACATGGGGGAGATGGACCACCCTTGGAACTGTCCCCATGGAAGGCCAACCATGAGACACATAGCCAACCTGGGTGTCATTTCTCAGAACTGACCTTAGTCACTGGACGGAATTATCAGTTTTATTGCAGATTTTTATGTTTTAAAACACAGGGTCTTAACTAACCTTTTATGTTTTAAAATGAACCTGCTACTTAAAAAAATACTCATCAGACCCATTTAAAAGTGATCTTGAGAACCTTTTCAAACCAGATGGAGCATTGCTTGCAAAAATTGTTTTCTGTGTTTTCATGTGCTCATAAGTGTGTGTGTCCAGGCAAAAACACGGTTATAAAAACAAGAGCACTTTGGAAGTTACTCAGACCTCTGCTCTGGCTGGACATAGTTTAGTCTATAACTTTCAACCCTTAATGATAATTAAATTTATCTTTGTTTAATTTCATACATTTAAAATTAGGGTCCTTTTGGGTTCGTGATTCTCAGCCCTGATTCACATTACATTTTTAAACAAGGGGATTCTCTACCCAGCTGGAAGAAAATAGCTGGATGGGACAGGGGTCACTATTGTTAAACATGCCTCTGTGCGGCCAAGGTAGCAAAATACTGTCCCTGCAGAGGAACAAAAAGAGTTTGATTTTCTCACAATTTGATTCTATGACTTGGTTTCCTCAGGGTGTGAACTGTAGAACATTCTAGTTACTGGCCTTGAATGGCTCTGGAAATGTAAGATAAGAATCCCTGTGTGTCTTTTCAGATAGTTTTCATGGAACCTTGTCCTGTTTGAACTGGACTAAAAATGGAAGTGAAGGTGCCCTCTTGGGAGCCGAGAGATGACAAATGTGGCTCCCCCTGCTGCCCCCCTCCCTTCCCTGGACTGTGGTCTTCAAGGAAGATGGGACTCCCATTCCTGGTTTAGAATTCCTTAGATGGAGGAGGCAGTACAGTAGTAACTGTGTCGTCGTGGCCAGCACCATGCCGGCATGGTTTGCAGGATCCCATTTAAGAACTCTGCAGATTGGGAGCTGTGGCAGGATAATAGCCCCCAAGATAGCTGTGTCCTAATCTCCAGAACCTGTGACCACGCTGCCTTACATGGCACAAGGGACTCTGCAGGTGTGACTGAGTGAAGGATTTTTCTTTCTTTTTTTTTTTTTTTGAGATGAAGTTTTGCTTTTGTTGCCCAGGCTGGAGTGCAATAGCGTGATCTCGGCTCACTGCAGCCTCTGCCTCCCAGGTTCAAGTGATTCTCCCACTTCAGCCTCCCAAGTAGCTTGGGATTACAGCTGCCCACAATCACACCTGGCTAATTTTTGTATTTTTAGTAGAGACAGGGTTTCACTATGTTGGCCAGGCTGCTCTTGAACTCCTGACCTCAGGTGATGTGCCCATCTCAGCCTGCCAAATCCTGTTGGGATTACAGGCATGAGCCATTGTGCCTGGCTGAGTTAGGATCTTGCAATGCAGAGATTATCCTGGATTGTCTGGCTGAGTCCAGTCCATTGGGTGAGTCCTTCAAAGGTGGAAACCTTTCCCTGCTGGCCAGAGAAAGGCTGCCTTGCTGGTTTTGGAGATTGAAGGAGGTACCACCAGTCAACATTGCAAGCAGCCTCTAGAACAGGCGTCCCAACACCCCGGCCACAGACCAGTACTGGTCCATGGCCTGTTAGGAACCAGCCTGCACAGCATGTGAGCGGTGGGCAAGCCAGCAAAGCTTCATCTGTATTTATGGCCACTCCCATGGCTGGCATTACCACCTGAGCTCTGTCTCCTGTCAGATAACCGGTGGGCATTAGATTCTCGTAGGAGCGCAAATCCTATTGTGAACTGCGCATGCGAGAGATCTAGGTTGGGCGCTCCTTATGAGAATCTGAGGCCTGATGATCTGTCACTGTCTCCCATCACCCCCAGATGAGACTGTCTAGTTGCAGGAAAACAAGCTCAGGGCTCCCACTGAGTCCAAATGGTGAGTTGTATAATTATTTAATTGTACGTTACAGTGTAATAATAATAGAAGTAAAGTGCGCAATAAATGGCAATGTGCTTGAATCATCTCGAAACCATCCCTCACCTACCCCCATTCGTGGAAAAATTGTCTTCCGCAAAACGGGTCTCTGGTGCCAAAAAGGTTGGGGACCACTTCTGGAAAAGCTGGAAAGGGCAAGGATACGGATTCTCCCCCTGAGCCTCTGGAAGGAACCAGCATTGAGGACTAATTTACAGACTGTATGATAATAAATTTATGTTGCTTCAAGCCACTAATTTATGGTAATTTGTTTACAGCAGCAATGGAAAACTAATGCCTGCGTTATTCCTATTTTATGCTGAAGCAGTTAGCAGAGCTAGGACAACCCTGGCCTGGTGCCGCCAGCACCCAGCCTTTCCCCAAGTCTTCAGGACCAGCAAGAGCAGGACACCTGCTTGGCGCTGGCGTGCGGCCCCTTTAAGAGCACGCAGTGGGCTAGGTGGCGTCCACGGTTGCCTGGAGACCCGAGCCGAGTCTGGGACGCGGAGAGCTCCGCCACACCTCGGCTGGAGCCTGGCAAGGCCCCTGGGCTCCTGGAGCGAGGTGATCGCCCCAGGCTGCGGTCACGCGTACGCGGGAACAGCCTTGGCGACCGAGTCCTGCTGCTTCCCGGCCCCCCAGGACCCGAGCACGTGCGTCATGGGCGAGGAGGGCCTAGGTCGGGCAGACCAGTGCAGGGAGCCCATTATTCCGGGCTAGTAGGCGCAGCTGCGCGTGATAACACAGCCTCTCCTTAAGCCAGAGGAAACATTAAGAAACACGCACTGAGAAACGAAATTGGCTTGATTTATAGTTCACTTATTTGTAGTTCACTGACAGAGGACCAAAAAGCCCATAGTAAAGGCCCCTCTAAATGTAGAGGTGAAAGCAGCTTGGGTTAGGTGACCCAGAGGCGCTTCGCTGAGACAGTAGTGAGGGAGTGGGAAGGAGTAAGGTTAGTGTTTAAAGGAAAAGAGAAGGCTTGGCCGGGTACGGTGGCCCACGCCTTTAAGTAATCCCAGCACTTTGGGAGGCCGGTGCGGGCAGATCACCTAGTTCAGGAGTTCGAGACCAGCCTGGCCAACATGGCGAAACCCCATCTATACTAAAAATGCAAAACATAGCTAGGTGTGATGGTGCACACCTGTAATTCCAGCTACTCAGGAGGCTGAGACAGGAGAATCATTTGAACCCGGAGGCAGGGGTTGCAGTGAGCCGTGATTATGCCACTGCACTCCAGCCTGGGTGACGGAGTGAGAAGTGTCTCAATAAATAAATAATGGAGGAAGAGAAAAGGCTGGAGGTGGGTGGAGCTGGATGGCGGGGTGTCCAGGGGATGCCATCCAACCAGAAGAGGGCAGAAGTGCCCACTGCACCGAGGCCCACAAAAAGGGACCCGATCTTGCCTTCAACCCAGGATTCACTTATGCATCCTGCCTGATGGACCAGGGCGCTTTCATGGGGCCAGCTTTGGAAGGCCATGAAAACACTGCACCGCAGCTCATATGCCAGACAAGCAAAGACAGGTGCTGGAAACACAACTCAAGAACACCATCCCTTGCTTGTCTGGCATATGAGAGGCACTCAATCAAAGGCAATGCTGGAGTGAGTAGGAACCAATGATTTAAAGTTTGAAAACAGATCCCAGGACTTTGGGAGGCCAAGGCAGGCAGATCACGAGGTCAGGAGTTCGAGACCAGCCTGGCCAACATAGTGAAACCCTGTGTCTAGTAAAAATAGAAAAATTAGCTGGGCGTGGTGGCATGCACCTGTAGTCCCAGCTACTCCGGAGGCTGAGGCAGGAGAATCGCTTGAACCTGGGAGGCAGAGATTGCGGTGAGCTGAGATTATGCCACTGTACCCCAGCCTGGGCAACAAAGCAAGACTCCATCTCAAAAAAAAAAAAAAAAAAAAAAAAAAAGACAAAAAAAAAAAAAAAAAAAAAAAAAAAAAAAAAGACGCAAGTTTGGGTGCAGTGGCTCACGCCTGTAATCTCACTACTTTGGAAGACCGAGGCAGGTGGATCACCTGAAGTCAGGAGTTCGAGACCAGCCTGACCAACATGGAGAAACCCCGTCACTACTAAAAATGTAAACATTAGCTGGGCATGGTGGCACATGTCTGTAATCCCAGATACTCTAGAGGCTGAGGCAGGAGAATCGCTTGAACCTGGGAGATGCAGGTTGCAGTGAGCCAAGATCACACCATTGCACTCCAACCTGGGCGACAAGAGCGAAACTCCCAGGAAAGAGATGAGATAATCAATCTATTTCACTCCATTTATTGACTTTGCTCTGTGTCCTGTAATTAAGGATTTTTCTGTGTGTCATCTATTTCATCCTTATGAGACAAGGTACTGTTATTCCTATTTGATATGTGAGGCAGAGGAGATGAAGCAACTTGCTTTAGAACACAGCACTTGGACAGGCTCAGCGGCTCATGCCTGCACATGCCTGCAATCCTAGCACTTTGGAGAGAGGTGGGAAGATTGCTTCAGGCCAGGAGTTCGAGACCAGCCTGGGCAAAATGTAGCAAGACCTCCATATCAAAAAGCAAAAAAACCAAAAAACGTTTGATAATGGACAACGCAGGAGCCTGAATCCAGCTCTTGAACACTTTATAATGGTGACCTATAAGGAGAGAGGCTTTTTTTTTTTTTGAGGTAGTCTTGCTCTTTTGCCTAGGCTGGAGTGCAGTGGCACAACCTCAGCTCGCTGCAACCTCCACCTCGCAGGTTCAAGTGATTCTCCTGTCTCAGCCTCCTGAGTAGCTGGGATTACAGGTGTATGCCACCATGCCCGGCTAATTTTTTGTATTTTTACTAGAGACAGGGTTTCACCCACCTTGTAAGCCAGGATGGTCTCCATCTCCTGACCTTGTGATCCGCCCACCTCGGCCTCCCAAAGTGCTGAGATTACAGATGTGTGCCACCTCACCTGGCCAGAGAGGGGCTTTTATGGTGTGAACTGGCCACATGCAAGACCTGGGAGGTTACATATCCTTTTTCATGATAGAGTTACCTTGCAGGAAACAATGCTAGACAATGGTTCCAACTGAAAACATTTTTGGCCTGGAGCTGTGGCTTACGCCTGTAAACCCAGCACTTTGGAAGGCTGAGGCAGGCAGATCATGAAGTCAAGAGATTGAGACCATCCTGGCCAACATGGTGAAAATACAAAAATTAGCTGGGCATGGTGGCGCATGCCTCTAGTCCCAGCTACCTGGGAGGCTGAGTCAGGAGAATCACTTGAACCTGGGAGGCAGAGGCTACAGTGAGCCAAGATCAAGTCACTGCACTCCGGCCTGGCGACAGAGTGAGATTCCGTCTCAAAAAAAAAAAAAATTTTTTTTTTTCAATTAGGTGCAGTGGCTCACACCTGTAATCCCAGCACTTTGGGAGGCCAAGGTGGGCAGATCACGAGGTCAGGAGATCCAGACCATCCTGGCTAACACAGTGAAACCCCGTCTCCACTAAAAATACAACAAATTTGGGCGTGGTGGCATGTGCCTGCAGTCCCAGCTGCTCGGTAGGCTGAGGCAGGAGAATCACTTGAACCTGGGAGGCAGAGGTTGCAGTGAGCCAAGATCGCACCACTGCACTCCAGCCTGGGCAGCAGAGCAAGACTCTGTCTCAAAAATAAAATAAAATAGGCCGTGCATGGTGGTTCACACCTGTAATCCCAGCACTTTGGGAGGCTGAGGCGGGCAAATCACAAGGTCAGGAATTCAAGACCAGCCTGACCAATATGGCAAAACCCTGTCTCTACTAAAAATACAAAAAAATTAGCTGGGTGTGATGGTAATCCCAGGTAACATGCCTGTAATCCCACCTACTCAGAGACTGAGGCAGGAGAATCACTTGAACCCAGGAGGTGGAGGTTGCAGTGAGCCGAGATCTCGCCATTGCACTCCAGCCTGGGAGACAGAGTGAGACACCATTTCAAAATAAATAAATAAATAATTAATTAATTAAAATAAAAAAATTGGAACCAATGCAATGTTGAGGTTGTATTTTTATAAACTGACATTACTTGAAACTTGTAATTATTATTATTTTTGAGAGAGAGTCTTGCTCTGTTACCCAGGCTGGAGTGCAGTGGTGTGATCACCACTCACTGCCGTCTCAACCACCCAGGCTCAAGCAATCCTCCCACCTGAGCCTCCCTGCTAGCTGGGACTACAGGCATGTGCCACCACGCCTGTCCAACTTATTTTTTTAGAGAGGGAGCGTCTTACTATGTTATCTAGGGCGATCTCGACCTGATCCTCCCACCTCGGCTCTGCAAAGTGCTGGGATTGCAGCTGTGAGCCACCACACCTGGCCCTGGTAACTAATTTTTCAGACTTTGAGAGGATAATGATAAGGACATTGTGTTGTAAAGCTAAAATGTTAACTACGAATGAAAACCCCAAGTGTTTGGAGACATAATTTTTATTTTTCAGATAAAACTCCTCAGTGCTTTGAAACCAGCGGCTCTGAAACAAAGGAACCATTTGATAAAAGTAAACGTCGGATCTTCTCAGGGCAATGGTGAAAGAAAAGAAAAAAGCAGACAAAAAAGGGGAGAAGTCTGCCCGCTCTCCCTCATCCCTCTCTGACAACCCAGACTTTTCCAAACAAGATGGCAATGCCACTAGGCAAGACATGTCCCCAGTGGGTGTCCCACTGCTGGGAATGCAGCTCAACGAAATGAAACCCAAAAAAGACCCCCCAAACGTTCAGCAGAATGAAGATGCCACCCAATATGAAGAGTCCATTCTGACCAAACTCATAGTGGAAAGGTGATTTTAATGGGGGTGCAATAGGGTATAACACTGCCAGTCAGGCAGTTTTTATTTTATTTTATTTTGAGATGGAGTTTCACTCTTGTTGCCTGGGCTGGAGTGCAATGTGAACCTCCACCTGCCAGGTTCACACAGTTCTCCTGCCTCAGCCTTCCAAGTAGCTGGGATTACAGGCATGCACCACCACGGCCAGCTAATTTTTTGTGTTTTTAGTAGAGATGGGGTTTTACTATGTTGGCCAGGGTGGTCTCGAGCTTCTGACCTTGTGATCTGCCCACCTCGGCCTCCCACAGTGCTGGGATTATAGGCGTGAGCCACCAAGCCTGACGTATTTTATTTTATTTTGAGACAGAGTTTTGCTCTCGTCACCCAGGCTGGATTGCAGTGGTGTAATCTCAGCTCACTGCAACCTCCGCTTCCCAGTTTCAAGCGATTCTCCTGCCTCAGCCTCCTGGGTAGTTGGGATTATACGCACACACCACCACGGCTGGCCAATTTTTGTTGTTGTTGTTTTTTGGAGACGGAGTCTCACTCTGTCACCCAGCCTGGAGAGCAGTGGCTCAATATCGGCTCACTGCAACCTCTGCCACCCAGGTTCAAGTGATTATCCTGCCTCAGCCTCCTGAGTGGCTGAGATTACAGGCATGGGCCACCATGCCTGGCTAATTTTTGTATTTTTAGTACAGATGGGGTTTCACCATCTTGGTCAGGCTGGTCTTCAACTCCTGACCTCATGGTCCACCCGCCACAGCCTCCCAAGGTGCTGGGATTACAGGTGTGAGCCGCTGTCCAATTTTTTGTATTTTTAGTAGAGATGGGGTTTCACCATGTTGGGCAGGCTGGTCTCGAACTCCTGACCTCAGGTGATCCACCTGCCTCGGCCTCCCAAAGTGCTGGGATAACAGGCGTGAGTCACTGAACCTGCCCTGAAGATAATTTTATTTACTGTAAAAAATTATTTTGTTTTAGATTTAGGGGGTTATATGTGCAGGTTTCTTACATAGGCATGTTGTGTGATGCTGAGATTTGGGCTTCTAATAAGCTCATTACCCAAGTAGCAAACACAGAACCCCGTGGCATATGTATAGTTTACTGTGGTAAAACATATATAACAAAATGTGCTATCTTAATCAATGGCATTAAGTACATTCACAGTGTTGTACAACTATCTATTAAAGAGTAACTCCTGGCCAGGTTCGGTGGTTCAAGCCTGTAATCCCAGCACTTTGGGAGGCTGAGGCAGAGCCTCACTTGAGGCCAGGAGTTCGAGACCAGCCTGATGAACATGCCAAAACCCTGTCTCTACTAAAAACACAAAAATTAGCCAGGTGTGAAGCGCACCTGTAGTCCCAGCTACTCAGGAGGCTGAGGCAGGAGAATCACTTGAACCTAGGAGGCAGAGGTTGCAGTGAGCCAAGATGGTACCACTGTACTCCAGCTTGGGTGACAGAGTGAGACTCTGTCTCAAAAAAAAACACCACCAACAACAAAATCCATCATTCCTCACCCCCTCCTTCAAACCCCTGGTAACCTATTCTACTTTCTAGCTATGTACATATACATATATTTCTGACTTTATTCTTCCCATTACATAGTTCTATATTTTAACCCATTGTCACTTGGGTTTACTCACATTGTTCATTACCTTGAATGACCTTTATTTCTTTGTAGCTATGAAGGGGAGAAAGTTCGTGGGCTGTACGAGGGAGAGGGCTTCGCAGCCTTTCAAGGCGGCTGTACCTATCGGGTAGGTTGCCCGCTTGAGAACCTGCAGGAAGGGGAGGAAGGTGTGGGGTGATGGTCGTAGATTTGCAGATCTTCTTCAAGTCCACTGATGCTTCGAAAGACACTGGAAGCACTTCATGCTGATTTTATTCTGAACCCCGATGACCTGTTTAAGGTAAAAGTAATGCTCAGCATAACATAAGTGATTTTAGATTTCTTTTCTTGATTCTTTCTCTTTTTTTTGAGACATCATCTCACTTTGTCACCCAGGCTGGAGTGCAGTAGCACAATCATAACTCATTGCAGCCTCGACCTCCTGGAGTCAAGCGATCCTCCCTCTTCAGCCTCTTGAATAGCTGGGACTACAGGTCCCATTACATGCTGTTACATGCCTGGCTAATTAATTAATTAATTAATTTTTTTGGTAGAGACAAGGACTTGCTATGTTGTCAGGGCTGGTCTTGAACTCCTGGGCACAAGTGATCCTCCTGCCCCAGACTCATAAAGTGCTGGGAGTGCAGGTGTAAGCCCCCACAACTGGTTGAGAACACATTTCTGTAGCTGAGGTCATCCTTAGCTGATGAAGATGGGGACTTCCCCCTAGATCCTTTTTGGTGAAGGATGGATCCCAGCGTGGAGCTAGCTGAAGTAGGACTCCATAGGACTCAGCTGCTGCTGAGTGTTCAGGCAAGCATCTTCATGCACGTGAAACCGGGCTGAGGCAACTGTGGGATGAAATCAGCTGCGGGCCAGGCACGCTGCTTCATCCTGTATCCCAGCACTTTGGGAGTCTGAGGTGGGTGCATCACTTGAGCTCAGGATTTTGAGACCAGCTCGGCCAACATGGTGAAATCCTGTCTCTACAAAAAATACAAAAATTAGCTGGGCATGGTGGCCGATGCCTGTAGTCCTAGCTAGTCGGGAGGTTAAAATGGGAGGATTGCTTGAGCCTGGGAGGTCGAGGCTGCAGTAAGCAATAATCTTGATTACACCACTGCACTCCAGCCTGGGTGACAGAACCAGACCCTAGCTCAAATGTAAATATATGATCAGCTGCATTCTAAGGGTTTGTTGTTGCTTTGCTTTGTTTTGAAGGGTATGTTTTCAGAAGGACTCATGCATGGACAAGGGACTTATATTTGGGCCGATGGATTAAAATATGAGGTAAGGCATATAACCAGTTATAGTTCTAAACTGTGATTATGGGATGGAACGATCAGTTTCCCACAGTTGAACAGACTGCTTTCATAGAAGTAATTCAGCACAAGGATTAAGAAAAATTCACAGAACTGATTGGGTGCAGTGGCTCATGCCTGTAATCACAGCACTCTGGGAGGCCAAGGCAGGTGGATCGTGAGGTCAGGAGTTCAAGACCAGCCTGACCCACATAGTGAAACCCCGTGTCTACTAAAAATACAAAAATTAGCTGTGCATGGTGGCATGTGCCTGTAATCCCAGCTACTCAGGAGGCTGAGGCAGGAGAATTGTTTGAACCGGGATCCGGGAGACGGAGGTTGCAGTGAGCCAAGATTGGGTCACTGCACTCCAGCCTGGGCTACAGATTGAGACTCTGTCAAAAAAA